TAAATAAATATTTAAAACATACAATTTTGACTCTTAATTCTTTGTTTTGCCGCGGAATGCCAGTCGAATTAAACTGTACAGGCTCATAGAGAATAGACAGCGGTGGCGGCTTATGACTTTAGGAACTTTTAGTTTCGCACCGCAACGTGAGCCGAGAGATGTCAACAAGACTCGGGGGGTCGGTGATCGCCTCGGTAAACAGCGCGTGTGGGCGCGCGTTGGGACTGGAGCGGCGCGTTCACAAACGCGATAATCGGTCGAGCGCGATTTACCACTGTTCGTGTCGATATCTCGATAATCACACGTGCCGCCGCGGAGAAAGGCGCGACCGGGGTCAGTTCAGTTAGGCCAGTAATTATTGTGAAGCTTAACGATAAAGGTCGACAGCGTGTCGACCGTTATCGTGAAACTTTTATCGGCGCTCTACTGACCGGGTTGTGGTAAACAATAATAAATATCTACCCGTTGCAGCGCACCTGCCTCACTATAGTTCGAGAATATCGGTGAGCAAGGAAGGTTCCCATCTGAGATCTGAGCCCAGCCCTATATGGCGTGCGGGGCGATCTTACGCCGCCAGGACCTCTTTGCTGGGCGACCTCTTCCCCCGCAGCATCTCCTGCACCTCGACGAGGGTCTTTCCTTTGGTCTCGGGCACGACGAACAGCGTGAAGAGGGCGATGCACGCGTTGGTGCACGCGAAGAAGAGGAAGGGCACCCAGAAGCCCGACTGGTTGCCGACCGTCATGAAGGCCTTGTTGATGCCGAAGGAGGTGAGCGCCATGATGGTCATGCAGACGGGCGCGATGACGGCCTTGGCGCGCTGGTCCAGCAGCTCGCTCATGAGCACCTGCGGGATGGTGTTGATGCCGCCGCCCACGCCGAAGATGTACACGAGCAGGGTGAGCAGCGGCACCCAGTTCCAGGCGGTCATGTCGGTGCCCTGGAAGAGCGCGTAGAAGTAGGCGGACAGGCCGAGCGAGGAGGCGCAGGTCGCGCAGGCGGCGAGCGTCAGCTGCACGCGCCGGCCCACGCGCTCCACCATGTACATGGCGAACACGATGGCGCCGATCTCCACCAGGATGACCAGGACGCTGGACAGGACGGCGGACAGGATCTCGGCCTTGGCGAAGCCGAAGATCTGCTGCGTGTAGGCGAGCACGTTGGTCACGCCGAGCAGGGCGAGCGCGCTCGACTCGACCACCACGATGAAGGCGGCCTTCTTGGCGCCGGGCGGTGAGAACATCTCGGACCAGGTGGTGGCGTCCTCTTGCTGCTGCTTGACGGAGCGCTGGATGGCCTCCATCTCGTCGCGGATCTCCTGGTCGGACAGGCCGACGCGCAGCGCGCGCAGCGACTTCTCCAGCTCTTCGACGCGGTTCTTGCCGGCCAGGTAGTAGGGCGTCTCCTGCATGAAGAACATGACGCACGCGAGCATGGCCACGATGAAGGGCACCGGGTAGACGCTCTGCCAGATCCAGGGCACGTTGGAGCCCAGCAGGTAGGCGATGAGCTGGCCGGTGGGCATGAGCAGCGTCACGGCCAGGATGAGGGGCCCGCGGTGCTGGCGCGTCGTCACCTCGCCGACGTAGATGTAAGAGAAGGAGAGCGCGATGCCCATGCCCATGCCGGCGAGCATGCGCGCCACGATGAGCATGGTCGAGGAGGAGCCGATGGACGTGAGGATGACCCAGAGCGTGAGCGTGACGGGGCCCACGAGCACGGTCTGCCGCCGGCCGGCGAGCGTGAACACGACCGTGCTGGACCACGAGCCCAGCATCACGCCGATATCGAACAGCGAGATGATCCACGAGATGTCCTCGCCCTCGGGCAGGAAGGGCGCCTCGTTCTCGCCGTCTACCACCGTCATCTTCTCGATGCCGGGCGACGCCCACCCGATGGCCATGCCCTCCAGCAGGGACAGCAGCATGACCCCGAGGACGGACTTGACCTGGCACGCGACGAGGGAGGACATGGTGGCGGATGGGGCGCGGCGCGACTGAGCGGGCGGGGTGGAGCGGACTGCTGCCTGGCGTCGCCGACTTCTCGGCCCGGACTGATAGCACACGGACGCTAGAGCCGGTGATATAGACTCGCGTCTCGCTCGCGACGTCTCGAGCACGGACGCGCAAGAAGTGCGGTGGTACACTCGCGTCCAGCTCTCTGCTTCTCCCCCTCTCCCTCTCCCTCTCCCTCTCCCTCTTCCTCTCCCTCTCCCTCTCCCTCTCCCTCT